ACATTTCTAGTTATGGAATTTTGGCCAGCTATAGTGACATAAAGAGATAGATCTTTAAGATAGGAGTAAAGCATTCTACATAGATTTTTATTAAACTTAAATATTCGATACATCTTGTATATAATACCATCTATCCAACCCGTATCGAAAGCTTTTTCAAGGTCAAGACTAACTAAAATAGTTGCTTGGCGACGGTTTAAGTTAGTGCAAACAAAATCAGATAGTATTGTCAGTACGTGACGAGTTGAACGAGAAGGACGGATGCCACATTGGAAATATTTTAAGATTTTATGTTCCTCAACATGAGATTTACTTTTTTCTAGCCAGAATTCTTCCATCAGCTTGCTTACATTAGATAAAATGGAAATTGGGCGGTAGCATAATTTAAATATTTATCTATAACTTTCTCAGTGACATGGCAGTTAATAGGTAAATAATTCTCATTAAACTTTTTTAAGAGCACATCATTGAATCTATGGACATCATATTTGTCATAATTAAACCGTTCGTTTAATTGACAATTCAGGATACTTTGATCTGAGATTATATTTAATTCTACCGCGCTATGATCTGATTTAAATGGGTGTGTTCTTAGATATTGTGAAATCCGTTCGAGTCATCGAAATTAATTTCAACAAACGGAGTTACTAAGAACATATCTATAAATGATGCTGAGCATTTAGAAATTCTAGTAGGAAACTTTTTTGGTATTAATTTCATTGCAGAACATTGCTGAAGCCAGTTGTAGAAAATCTTGCCATTAGGATTAGTGTGAATCCCCCCAACTGGGATGCCTAGCATTTAGGTCTCTACCTATATTAATTTGGATTGTTTTTAGGGAGTTTAGCAACAAATTAAGGTCATTGAATTTCAATACATCTGTTGGGCGGTTGTACACAGAAACGAACGAAATTTCCTCGCTACTTGCAGTGAAGATTTTAAGTGCTACATTTTCTAAATGAATAGTGTCTACTATATCAATTAACTTAAATTTGTGCTTCTCTCTTATACTGATAGCTGTAGCTGTACCACTTGTCCGATTGTTGTTATTCACATTCTTTGCTTTGTTTACTTGTCTGATGAATTTGTAACCGCGGAAATTAATATTGTGTTTTTGACTGAGTTTGTGTTCTGCTATTAAGATTATGTCAGGCTTATAATTTTTCAGAAACAAGTTAAAATAATGCCTTTTATGTCGTGAAATTAAAGAATTCACATTTAGGAATATGCCATTGAGAAATTTATTACTCATGATTAATTCTTAGTTCGGTAAGTAAACTGAAAAGAGCTATTGACTTTTCATCATAATTTTTTAATTGTCTATAGGTATTTGTCAAGGACGCCATCTTTTTCATGCAGCCAGATAGATTACTTTCAAATAATCGAACGCATTCGTTCTCTACAGTTTGAAACAGTCTTACATTAGACACTTTTTTGGAAAGTTTAGATTTCGTGTACATTTTCGTAGTTTTAGTCTTCGCGTTCTGTGCTTTAGAAAATTTTTTTGAGGTATTACTTATAATTGAAGCATAAGAGGAAGACTCACCACCAGTGGTAAGTGCTTTTGTAAAGTAAACTTTATTTAATAATGGTTTAACCTTTTTACTGCAATTATTGTGCTCGTTAATTGATTCCAGCCTCTTAGGACATTTTGAATAGTTACCCGTCCCTTCGATTTTACAATTGAAAACACTAAATGGAATACCTATATTTTTAACAATTTGTCCGATTTCAAGGTCGGTAAATACAATACATGCTCTTTGTTATTATTTTCCTATGATGGAATTTCGCAGTCACCTGGACAGTGTTGGGCCGTATTGGACACATCGATAGGGCAAATGCAATTCCTTGCGACATGTGTGTATCTTTGGCAGTTTTTATATTGTTTTGGTAACATGGGTTTCAGATTCTCAAATTCACACTTTACAATTAAGTATATATTTTATATAATATATCTCAGATAAGTTAGAATTGTGAGACAATTGTATCAACCACTTATCATTTTTAAATTTTGAAAGTTTAATAATATTAATATCTAAATTAAGTTCAGAAAAATAATTAATTATTTCCTCATACTCGTATACATTACATAATTTTTTTATAACAAGGGAATGTGGTTTCTCTCCATTAGGAGTGAATGTGTAGAATTTGCACTTCTCTTTTATTAAAAAACTCTTAAGTTTTTATAATCATCTATAATACGTATACTAATGTGTGTGACATTTTTGTTGACGATATTAAATGCAAAGTTTTTGTGATTTAGTAGTAACTTTAACTTATTAGCTATCTCTTTTTGATTTATGTTGTATGTATAAGTGTAGGTGGGTTGTCTTCTAATTTACTTTTTTCTCAGCAGGTATTGTATAGTTGAACTGTTTTGTTGTGGGCTGAGTATGTATGCCAGAAGAGTAAGTTAGGCAGCGAAGGAAAATTCACCTCTCCATCGTCAAGTTATTCCATTTCCGCGTCATCGGGTAATTCAAATGTTGTGTCGCTATTCGGTTACGCTGAATGTCTCTTAAGAAGGTAATTGTTTTTTTGAAGAGTAGCTTTTTCTGAGTTAAGTCGTGAAATGACAGACCTTAGATCGTGTATTTGAACAGAAAGTGACTGCGGCAATACTTGCAGTGATCGGCTGTCCTGTACTTCTACAATACTATCCATGCTATCATATTTGCTATTGTGTTGTTTACGTTGCTTTCAGCTCATTGTTTTTGCAATTATTAGTTTGTTAGTGTTTTGAATTGGTTGTTCTAGCTTATTATTTTTCATTGCTTCCCATTTGGTGTCGCCTTGGGATTTATTTTTCTAGATATTGCACTGTTTACACTATTGAACTATTAAGATTTTGATTGGTCTCATCTTGATTTAATGGTATTCCCAAGACATCGAAGGGTTTATTACTATTATCTTTTTCACTCATAATTGTGTTTTTATAAGCTTTTATATACTTTTTAATATCATGCACTTCTGATTCACTCAACGCACGTCTACTCTTGGCAAACGATCAAATTGAACTCCAGGTTATCAAGTCTTAACCCTAGAGAAGGCGGGCTCTACACGGTGACATTGTTTTTCGCGCTTGAGCATTTTGCTCACGTACTGAAAATATTCAGTTATTTTTATATATACATATAGTGATAAAAGTTTAAATTTGAATTAAAAACCATTATTGGACCCTCAACTTTAAAAATGTTTATTTTTTTATTTAAAAACTTAGAAATTTTTACGACTAAAAAATTGTGTGAGCAAAAAAATATAATTGCCTATTGGCTGGAGATTAATTGCTGGCTCAATATTGTTTGATTTGTTGTGGAGGCCAAAGTATTAGCTTGGTTGAGCGTATATCAAGATCTCTATGGAAATTTTCGTTATGCATGCGTGGCGCGTCTGTTATTATTTTCAAAGTTTTCAATTGAAAACTTTGTAGTGTATCTTCGTCGCCATACGTAAACATGGGTTTTATATTGTTAAGCTTAAAAGCTAAAACAAACTGGAAAATTTATGTTTCAGCTGCATATATTTGATGGAACCGTCTGTTTAATTGATTTCGTTAGCTTGTGGGATAGACAAATTTCAGCTCGACAAAACGTGTATGTCACGTTTTTGGCTTTAATGTAGAAGTGATGAGTTTTGCAATTATTTTTATAAAATTTTACACGTCATTTTGATAGAAATTCTTCAATTAGCTTAAGGTGCTGATCAACACTTTTGTGGCTGTACTGATATAAGTTAACACATAATAAATTACTGATCATTTTGCCTTTGCTATAACATAGCGAATTACATATTTACATTCTTTTCTTTGGTAATCGACGAAATAAATGCCATAACCGAATTGTCGCTGACACTACAGTTAAAGTCAACTCCGCAATAAAAATTCCCACAGGTTAAATTTTAATTGCTGACTAATATTATTTCATATTTCCTGTTTTGCAATAGAAGGCCTTCAGTAACTAAATTCTAACTATATTAATTTAATTATTCAATTGGTAAAATCAGTCTCATTTCTGCAGTGAAATCTGTTGGGCGTAATTAAAAATAACAATTACGCTATTTTATATCAGTATCATCCGCAAATGTGAGTAATTACTTCATTACTTGTAGGAATGTCTGCGGTGAACAGTATGTACCAGAGAGCTGCAATGCGTATACCGTTCTCGCTCCCACTCGAATCAACACTCTGATTTTCTTTGATTCAAATTCTTTGGTATGAGTTCGAGTGTGTAGTGAAATAGCCAATTGAATGTAAACATATATGTTGGAAACATACGAATGCCGTTGCCTTGCAACTTGTTCACAAACGAGTAACAACGAGTATGTATTACTTGTTATACTTATTCTATACTTATACTTATTTGTTTGGAGCACTGATTTATACTCGAATGTTTGCATGCTGATCGATCTTAGCTCAGTGTGTGCCGCGATAATGATTTTCGCATCTATTTATTACGGCACAGGAAGAAAAATGTAAAAATTCTAAAACGTAGAAATCTTTTTTTACCCAATGTGCATATATTTATTTTATACAACTTTAAAGACTGTAATGAAAAAATATTAATTTTATTTGTGTTAATTAACTAGATCTTTTTGAAAATTAATTTTACTATGGAATACTTTACTAATATTTTTGAAATTTAAGTATTTATTTTTATGTAAGGCATTATATGAAAATATATAATATAAATATTTGTTATAAAGAGTAAGTAATTATTTTATTTTCATTTTCAAAGTCAAAGTATCAACCAAAAAATATTGTATGCATAGTGCATCAAATTTCAGTAGCTTGGCTTTTATTCTCCTAATTTAGCATTATTCCATATTGGTTTGCAGTTGCAAAATTTTCATAAAACTTAGGTTAAAATGATTTTTTTGGCTATTATTATATATTGTAGTGTGCGCAATACATACATTTTTAAGTTTCTCCCTAATGAAACATTTTTGCTTAGATGATGTTATCTTCTCAATGTTGTTATCTTCTCAAACTCTAATGTAGCATATTAAGTCTCGTGAATAATTGTTTCCAACAGATTCGTTGCTTGTGTGCCACTCGATCCAACACAGTGCTGTGATTGAGTTATACCAAATTTTTGTTGGTGTGGTTGAATAGGCTCGAGCACACCCGTTGCAGCTCTCTGGTATGTACAATATTGCTCTAAGGATGCTACACTGTCTTGATGGGATATTCCTCTGTAATGATTTGATTTTTTTCGCAAGGTTATTGTAGAACGTATTATGTTAGAGGTAAGTAAGTAATTAGGTTATGATTTCTAAATTTTTTTAGTGATACTTTGTCCAATTCTTGAGCGTCATCAATAATTTAATTTTAATATTATTCATGGTTCCTAGTTCTTCTTCTACTTTCTTTTATATTAGCGTAGACACCTCTTAAGCGATTATAGCCGTATCAATAATAGCGCGCCATTTTAATCTAGCCAGCGCAGCCATTGTCAATGTGCTAAGGACCATAAATCGTTCGGAAAAATTTTTGTCTCGAAGACTCCCAGCGCCGACTTATAATACATCGATATTCTATACGTTTCTGCACCATCTATTAGGGTATGATGAGTGACTTATAGAGTTTGGGTTTTTGTTGGGCGGGAAAAGATTTTACTTTCTTACTGTCTCTCAATCCAAAGTAGCACCTTTTGACAAGAGTGATTCTGCATTATAATTTAAGGCTAAAATAATTTTTGCTGGCCCTTAGATAGACGAAATTATCTACGACCTCGAAGATATGACAGTGAACACTGACGCGGTAGCCAAGTTTGCTGACAAGTGGTATTTTGTCTTTTTCTACTTCACTACCAGACCCATCCGCCTCGCTTCTTTACCAAGTCTGGCGGAAGGAGAACTAACGGCACGGTTGTTAGGGCTTATGATATCAATATCATTGGCATACGCCAGTAATTGTAGAAGTTTAACCGTTCAGTTGCTTAAAACATATCGGCTGTTAAAATCTTATTTCCTTTGCTAAGTTGTTGCTGAGCGAGTAACTGGACTAATTTAAAATAGTTCGGTCCTGCACCTGAATACCTAATTGTCAACACCTCAAGCGAAGTGACTATATTAGCTGAATTGGCGATTCCCACTAGTTCTCTTTTATTGTTAGAGTTTCCAGCGACACTTTAGTCTTACGTTGTTTTTGTTGGCTCCTGCTTAGTTTAATCGGTGCTTCCAACGTTTTGCCTTTGTTGTTAGAGGTGGCTGCGACACTTGAGAGGCACATTGTTGTTGTTGGCATTTCCAATTGCGGTTTTGGATTAGTTGTAGTTGCTGATGTGGTACGCTAATATGCTAACTTCCACTCTTATAAAGAGCTTTGTCTATTCAGCTCAGCGGGTCTCATTACATCCTCAAGCATCAAACTCAAGAAATCACAAGATAAGGAGCCACCCTGCCTGAGACCTCGTTTGACTGCGCATCTGGTGTTGTTCACCGTCAGCTTACGCAGCAGTATAAGTTTTTCGGGGATACCAAATTCAGACATAGCGTCGTAGAGGCAGCTCTGTACTGCCAAAGCCTAGTTTCAAATCGACGAAGAGATGGTGTGCATCGAATCTTCTTATGCGGCTCTTTTGAACTATTTGGCGCATTATGAATATCTGATCAAAGGATGATTTACCAGGTGTACAATTGGAGGAAACGGTAGCCTAGTGGTAAGCATAGCGTACTGACATTCGGGCTGATATCCCGGTGTAACCAGCATCCAAAAGTTTTGGAAAATTAGTTTGAATAAAATGTCCACCCTCCACTCTCCTAGTGTATTTCAGACGTGAAAGAAAGGCTCCTCGTAAAAAAACCATCAGTCGTTCGGAGGCGGCTGAACTGCAGGGCCCTCCTTTTGTTGCAAAGACATCAAGATGTAAAACCATATACTGGAGGACGATCTCGGGAGAAAACTCGCTTCAACGGTTACAAAGCACCAATTATGTATTGTATAAAGTCGGCCGTGGTAGCCTAGTGGTCAGAATAGCGTACTGCCGTTCGGAAGATCCGAGTTCAAATCCTTGTATGACCAACATCCAAAAGTAATAGAAAATTGATTTAAATAAAAAATTAAGTTACATTTTTTAGTTGCAGTCGTCCCTCGGCAGGGAATGTCAACCCGGCTTATTAAAAACTGTAGGTCCCTCCATTTGTTGGAAAAATATCAAGACGCACAAGTCACACTGACAAGGTCCAATAAGTTTGTTGACAGTGGGCTTCAGTTTTTCACATATTTTGGACCACAGTCATAGCTCTGTCGGTGGACCCTCAGCAAATTCAGTATACTCTAAGCATCAGTCAATAGCTCACCTCTCTGGGTCCTACAAGAGTTTGCTCCGGTCGTGAACCTTTCTATTGCCGCCACATCTTCTTATAGAATTTCCGATCATTGTCCCTGATGGCCAACTTCTCAAGTTCTTCAAAATCGGCAAAAGTGATTTTCTTCCTCTGCTCTGGGTATCTATGTCACAACACAAGTGTAGTGACCGATTGCATGGTGGAGAGTATGTTTTGTGTTCACTGCAGTTTGATATTCTTCATAGAACCAACTATTTTTCTGGTACTGCCGAAAGCCAGTAGTGTAGCAGCAGTATGTAGAGAGTTTGAAATACCGCACTATTACTCCTTTATATCGACTTGCTTTTCAGTACTCTCATAAATGAAGTGCGCAAACCAAGTAGATACCTTTCGAATTCTTGGATAGGCAGAGTCACGTGCCTATCATCGCTTCGACAAGATATGATCCGAGCCGATGTTAGGACCTCGGCACAATTTTGACATTGTGGCGGGAAGTGCACGTTCTAGGCGCTCATAAAAAACATATTTGGTCACATCGTCCTTTTCTTCCGTCGGGGTGCAAATCATCTGTTGAAAAGTTTCGCTCTGATGCGGATTGTGGCGAGGATTTCCAATACCGAATTTGTGCTTTTTTATATTGCCACTGTGGAATACTTCACAAGGACCTACCTTCTTCCATTCTTTCCTTGCCTCGTCCACCGCATTTCTTGATCGGCGGTGATGTCAGCCTTTAATCTTTTTAGGACATCAGCCAGATGGTCAGCGGAACCTTCCCAATTACAGCAACTGACATTCCAGGTGTATTTCCTTATATCATGATACTTAAAACATTATTGAGCTTGTCGTCAAGGGGATGGCGTCCATCCGAGGTCTTTTAGAATTATCGTCGAAGTACCCTCGCATGGGATTCACCTCCTCATATTATGCCGCCTTCAAACGAATGTTTGAAATGTAAAATATTCGTTTTTGGCCACTTGTAGATGAATGGTAGTCAAAAACTTTCCTGGACGAGAGATTACCGGCCCAAACTAGATGTAAAGGTCGATGACTTGAATATTCCGACCAGAATCCAAAGATATTGGGAGCCACTTTTTAAAGTGTGTACTCCCGCATAAAAGTATGCAAAACAAAACTTGAATTAATAAAGCAAGCATCTCACCTCCCGAAGCATTGTTTTACCAAACAATGTGTTTGATCAAATGAGTACAGCATAGTACTGCACTCATTGCATTTTTGCTCTTACGCGTAATTTTTGTATAAATAGTATAGTATACACAAAATTATTAAAAACCATAAAACAATTTTACGAAAACTAAAGTAGAATACAGTACTATGTAATGTTTTCAATTAGAAATCTAGAATACCCCTAATTGCAGCAACAATTGTTGTAAAAATAAATATCTGTGATTTTTATACTGTTCGATTATTATTGCCTTGCACGGGCTAATAACCGTAAAATATGTATTTTTTAATTTTGGTGTTACATTTATATATAGTGCGAAAAGAATAAAGAATTCTTTCTTATTTAACAATTAATTTTTGAATACATATGCAAAGTTATTCTTTTTAAAAATATTAACACTATTACATCATCAACATCCATTGCAATATCATTTTGCAAGTTTTTAACCTGAGCAAATCATAAAAAGCATGTATAAAACTTTGTTTATGACTTCTTGGATTTCGTGAACTAATTATGTGAAACAGTTCGAAGTGCCTAGCGCACTTGTTGGAGTTTCTCGCTACTTTGGTGTTTTTACTGAAAATATAAGAGTGAAACGTATGCATAAAGAGAATAAGCACTGTTCTCTCTTTCGAAAATAAAAAATGAGTTTTGTCAGAAGAGGTTTTGTTTATCAGAGTGAAGTAAAGAGCACTAGCCAATCAAATAAAGGATTTAAGGGGTAGAGCACAGCACAATGGGTGCAGTAGTGCAGCAGCCAAACCAAGCATATCCATGCACACCTCTAAAACCTACAAAGCAGTTTGCCGGCAGGTTGTTAACTATGCTGCATCGATATGGCCACCGAGGACGAGACGTAGATGAGAAAGCTACAGGCTTGCCAGAACACCGCCCCCCGGAATTCGACAAGAAACATTCTGATGTCGCCGGAGCATCACTTGCACAGTGAAGTATCTATGTTTCGAGTTAAGGAGCATAATACTTTGCTGTGCATTCCATTCCTATTGGAATTCTACCGTAGGGAACACACCAATAGGCATTTTGAGTTTTGAAGTTGTACCTCAACTCAGGCATATCAGAAAGGGAGTACCGGACATGAAGGACACCATTCAGCAACACGTTAAATAACCATTAGATAAATTAACCTGTCCCTCTAAGTGGGATTAGACAACCGCTATAACAGCAACAACATGACTTGGAAAATAAAGTAGATATCAGAAATTTACTTAAGTATCTAAGTAAAGCACTTGAAATATGTGTGTTTGTTTTGATATTTCTTTTCGCTGTTTCGCATGACTTGAAAATACCAAATGAAATCAGTTCGCAGCTCATATGATCCTTCCAACCAAGTTGAGGTTTTCCGCTAACTCCTTATTCGCTGAACTATGTCAATATCATCTTATATCATCGATGAGCTCATCGTTCTATCGTCTGCAGTATTCGCCGTTGCCAGTGAGGAAAAGACCATGAATCGTTCGAAAAACTTTTTTCTTGAAGACTCCCAGAGCCGACTTACTAGATGTTGACATCGTCCACACTTCTGTGCCATATACAGTGGCTCAAACGTATAAATGAATACTTAGTATAAGATTATTCAAGTACCTATTGTTCTCTTCATTGTAAAAATTTGCAAAAAATTTTGATGCAGAGTTGTAGATTATTAAAAGACCCTTTGATACAATGTATAAACTTATGATCTTTTATTCAGAAATACTTTTAA